AATAATAATAACACGTACATATGTTTTCGAGCTCGTCTGCTAATCTAGGATTATTTTTGAATTGTAACTTACCAATATTTTTCTAAATGTATTGAATAACATCTTAAAAAACTAAAATCAATTTCAATTTATGGGATTTAGTAACATTTGCACATTGTCTACATATGAAAATACCATATGGATAAAAAAAATTCATGTGATGTGAAATGTTTAAAGCAACACTGAACTGCAGCAAACGCATCGAAACAACGGTTCGAGACCCTAGGTCTCTTTGGACCAAATCCGTTTCAGGACATTTGGAATCGATCTAGAGGTGTCTTGCCGAAGGGAGCCCCCGATTTGGCTTAGAAAACTTAGATCGAGTTCGTAGATGAGCAGTATTGGTCCAATCCTACCGGTACCTACTTCAAAAAATGTCTACAATTTCAAAGAAAATCATTTACCTAATACAACAAAAGCAGATCATCCAATTTTGTTCAAACACTCCATATCAGTGCTAGAACGATATCAGTCTACTCTCTCAAGTACCTCCCCTACAAAGGGTCAACATTTTGAATAATTTATCTATCATAAAATGCATAATAATCATACCTCCCACACAAAAGTCGACATTCTGATACATGATTTTTTTCTTTGTTTTTTTCATTTGTTGGCAATTAACAAATTTGCCGTGATTATTAGATGTCAGGGCGAAACAAGTTTTTTCGCCTAGAAAAAAACGTTACAATTAACAGACAGAGCCATAATCCAAGTATAAGGTCCCCCTTCCCCCTTGATTGCCAGACGATCTGTCAATTAAATTTGAATTCGCTGCAACAAAAACAAACTTCAAAACGATGGTAGAAGAATTCAGGTAGTCGCATTGCATAGATGCGGTGGCAATGAACTGTCAAACCAATTTTTAAGTTAAAATTTTAAAATGAAAAATTATTCAAAAAATTATTGCAATGCTTGGGAACAATGATATGTCAACATTGTTAAAATGTTTTGTCAAAAATAAGTAGATTTTTCTACGTTTTCTAATACGATGCAAATTAGAAGTTGTTATGACATGCAATTTTTACAAATATCAACAATTTTTCGTTTAACATTTTTAATTTTAAATTCGGTTTGACGGTTCATTGTCCCAGCAGCTGCGTCGATGCGTCTACCTGTATTTTTCTACCATGTGTTATACATACAAAAATGACAACAAACATATTCGCCACAAAATTCTTCTGTCAAGCATGAATTTTGACATTTCATCTGGTAAAATAACGGCTGTTTTTGGATTAATTCACTCGAATAAAGACCTTATAATTGGGCCATGGACATAGCTGTATTTTTTACCAATTCGCTTCCTGGCCGACCTTATATAGGCCATGGTTTTAGCCAACATAAACCAATATTCATTTTTGAGTTCAGTGTTGCTTTAAACATTTCACATCGCATGAATTTTTTTTATCCATATGGTATTTTCATATGTAGACAATGTGCAAATGTTACTAAATCCCATAAATTTAAATTGATTTCAGTTTTTTAAGATGTTATTCAATACATTTAGAAAAATATTGGTAAGTTACAATTCAAAAATAATCCTAGATTAGCAGACGAGCTCGAAAACATATGTACGTGTTATTATTATTAATTTGTACGTTGGCAACACTCGCAATCATAAAAATATGTTTTCGGCTGCTCATTCGGCTAAAAAGGAAATGCAGTAGCCGCAATCCGAACTATTGCTTATTTTGTGTGCTATATATACATATATATATATATATATATATATATATATATATATATATATATATATATATATATATAACGAACAATTTTTACGTTTCTTTTCCAAAATGGATAATATTCCAAAAAATCGGGTAAAAATGTGATATATTAACATTTTCATGTTGACTTTTGAAATGTACAATCGTAATGTTTTATTTTGAATGTTTTTTTCTATGTTGACTTACTTTTTTCGAATGTACATTAGTTTTGTTTTTTATATTTTATTTTTGAATTCGAATATTAATACCAATTTACTTAATTGACTCGAGAACTGAAAATGAAGCCGGGTTACATTGAAGTGTAGTACCGAAGTATGTGGTGGCGAAACGGAATAGATGTTATCGAAATAATTTAACGCGGTCATACCGAAGTTAAGTCAAAATCGCTAAAAAATCATAAAAAAAAAGATTTCATTGCAAAAATTCTCAAATCGGGAAAAAAATCGAAAAAATTCAATGATGCAATTCATTGGACTGCAATCAGTGAAATACCGAATATAAACGGTGCAAAATAGTAGAGAGAATTGGATTTAGGAAAAAAAAAGAATGGAATTCTTCCTAAACTTTCAAAATACCTTAAATCGCTTTTGCAGGTCATGATATATGACCCCCGGATAAGGTTACAACACTATTTCATGTACAGTTTATATTTTAACCATATTTCACTCATATTATAATTTAATAATTTGAATAATTTTTTTGTACAAACATTCGTCATACCCCGAGTTAGTTTTTTAAAGAAAAAAATATTGACCACGACTACTTATACGCCCACTATTTCGATTTATCTAAAATCCTTATATTTGCCAAAATAATGAAGGTATCGGTTTGAAAATTGTTACACGAGATGCTGTTGGCTTTCCATCCAACCCTAAGTACATATTTAGGGGCTGAGGAACGCGCCTACTTTTAAATCTATCTCTCTGTATGTAAAAGAAAGTTGTGTTAGTTACTACTCTTATAACATAAAGACCGCCGGTCTGATTTTAACGATTCAGACAAATTCGGAATTGCCTCTTGGCAAAAAAATCGCGTAAAAATGTGAAATTTGAACATTTTCATTTTGACTTTTAAAATGTTTTATATTGCATATTTTTTCCATTTTGACTTACTATTTTCGAATGTAGTGTTTTTTTTTTTTGGAATTCTAATATGATGTGTAGGTTTTTTTAGGTAGTATAAAGCCACAACGGATAAAACTGTTATTAATAGATTTTATGTATTTATTCGTAATACCCAATAAAAATTATATGAAAATTCTAAAATCGGGAAAAATCGAAAATTTTTCAATGAAATCGAATTTCAAAATAATAGTACATTCTACCGACAAACTTCGAAAGAACCTTTAAAAATTTGCCGCAAAAAAATCAGCGAACCAGTTGAAGATTCTTTTTATACCCTCCACCATACTATGGAGGGTATATTAATTTTGTCATTCCGTTTGTAACTCCTCGAAATATTCATGTCAGACCCAACAAAGTATATATATATTCTTGATCGCGTAAAATTCTAAGGCGATTTAGCCATGTCCGTCGGTCTGTCTGTCTGTTTTAATCACACTATCTTTCGAACAAATTGAGATAGAAGGCTAAAATTTTGCACACATGAATATTTGATAATTCAAAAGAAACCATCTTTGCAAAAAATGATCATGTTTTGGTATCACCATCATATGATTTATGGTATTTTCGGGGTCTTGGCCACTTTTTTCATTTTTTTGGCCCTTATTTGACATATTTGTTTCTAAAGGGGAAGAAAACCTCTTCTCATAAAATTTTTTATTTTTCGGAAAAGGGCCCATCTTAGTAGAAAATCATCTTACAGATAATTATCCACATAGGCATTTATTTAAGTATTGTCCCCACATTAGTATACCCCCAAGTCCACTTTCCCAACCAATGTGTGGTCAGAAAAGAAAATTTGGTATTCTATTGAATTTGTAACCCCCAAGAGAATAATGGTTGGGATCGTAGATTTGGGATGTACGTCTATATGAAATAAACTCCGAAATGTCAATCTGGGACTCATTCAGTCGGAAATTGTGGCAGAAACATGAAAAAAATACGAAATTATAAAGTAACTTTATTGGATCTCCACCGCACAATTTAAATGACAAACAATTAATGCCCATCTTACGGTAATCGGAGCAAAAGAGTAATTTTTTTTTGCTATTCTGACAACATTCTGCCTTCAAGTATGAGGTGGACGAAACGAAATACCACGCAGTACGTGATTTTAAAGGTTGGAAATACAAATTTCAAATTATAGCTCATTTGAATGATTTTTACAATACCAAAAATTGAGCTGAATTTTAACATGGGGCTATTATAGATGTTCTTTATCATATAGGTATTTAACACTCAAATTAAAGCCTATAGCTGAAAAATAAGATCAGGCCATTCAAAATATCTAAAACCGACGGTAATTACAATTTTTGCCATGAATATTAATTTATATTTAGTCATGGAGTCATTACTTATAATCAAAATTGTGCCGCCTACATAAGTCAGATCTGTGATTTATTATGCTTTAAAGGCTAAAAGTATGGGCCGGCTACGCGGACCGGGCCAGCTAGTTATTTTATAAAAACAATTGCAGAATAGTAAAGTGAAGCATTAGTAGCCAAAAGTATTTTTATTGAAATGTCTTGGTCTCTGTTGAATTTTATTTCAATGCCCATGTACTTTGTTTTTTTCCTCTTAGTTGTGTCGAATTGGCTTCGAAGAAATTTTGACAGCATGTTCCACGATATCGAAAGAACACGTTCGCACAACTTTTACACGACAAACAGCTGATTTCCGTTCCACTAAAATCCATCAGAACGAAAATTTGCACAAAAATCAAAGCGAACGAAAACGTAAGCGTTTCAGTGTAATTTTGCGTTCCAATATCTTTTTTCTTTCGTACGCATGCGAACACAAATGTCAAAATCAGTCACTTGTGTGTTTGCTGTCGAATGATAAAAATTAAGGAAAATTGTTTTAACATAAACATTGCTTGATTGAAAATGGAAAGAAAAATGCAAGTAAAAATAATAAATGCAATTTAATCTGTGAACAACAAATATATATTTGTTTATTTTCTCAATTCCAGCACGACCTATTAAATTTAAATGTCTTGGTAACGCTGTTATTAATTTTGGTTATGGTGCCCTACATATTCTGGCAATGTTGGAGACTTTATGACTATGCGTTCGATTTTATTGAATTCAACGGCGTTTAAAATGGTGGGACATAGACTCTTACGACTCTGAATTTATAGCCTCGGGACTTAAAATATTTTCGGCCGTGTTTTCTTTGAATGACTTCAACGTGAAAAATTGTGGAAGATTGTTTGTGTCATAATTATTAAAAAAGAACTGTGAAAGCCTCCCAAACAGCAGCTTGTTGTGCAAATTATAAAGAAAATATATGTGCACGTTTAAAAATGTCGGATACGTTCAAATCAGTTTCTATGATGTGAAAATGCATTTTCTCTCGTGGCGTTAATACACATTCCTAGCACTGTGGTAAATAATTAAAATTATTGTGGTGACAAACAATTCCATTGTTGCCAAAGAATTAGAGCAACATTTCTGAATATAAAAAGTGCTACGCCCAAATTTCGATGTATATTTTAAGATCTATTAATTTGTTGTGTTTTATCATTCACGAATAATTGCGTTGTGTAGCTGGTTGTTTCTTTCGCACCACCAAGTCAGTTGCATAGTTACAGCCCTAAGAATAAGACGGTATGGATGACTAACCGCCATTTTCATTCGATTTTTTCTTGGTTTATCTTCCAATCCAAATCATCAAATCACCACCTTATAGAACAGAGCAGATGTAATGGTTTGACGGCGTCGCGAAGTTAATCTTAAGCGACTTTGGGGTAACGTAAACTTTGTCAATCCAAGTAAGTTAGTAAGTTAAACAACAGTTACATTCCTTCAACTAATTGTTAATGGGGTCTGAATCTTGTATTTAATTGTATTACACAAATATGCCTGCTTGCGCCAGACCAGGAGAACTGCTTATTTTTATCCATTAGACCTAGTTGTGCCGAATATGTTTTAATTAAACGCGTTCCATTGCCTATTCCGTTTATTATATGTCAAATGAATGACGTATCTTCGTAAAAGGCGAAACAGCGCATTAATGCCAAATTTCATTATTGTTATTGAAATCACAGTAAAACGACGAATTTTTAATATTTTTACGTATGTTGTAAAAATGAATGCAAATTAAAACCCTAATTCTATGCATTAAAAACATGTATGCATTGTTTTTATTCGAATATCATTAGGTCTGCAAGGTCCATTACACATATTGTGTAAGCTAAACAAAAAACTGTCAAAAATTAAATGTATTTTGACAATACGGATACCCCAATAGATAGGTCATCATTAACTGTTAAATATGTATGTAAAAAACACTTTGTTATTGCACTATGTCCAGGCATATAAAAGGTCGGCCAAGACGACTACTTTTGACAACAACATGACAATAAATATTTAAGTTTCAGCACTCTCATTGAATTAAAATCACTATTATGTCTTTTGACAGTAAACTTGGTTGTCAGACGGACTTACCGGGCCACTTATATAGGCCATGCACTACGTGGAAGTTCAACGACTCGAAAGTTGTTGTTTTTTAATGAACATTTTTTGCTTTTGGAGAACCCGGTTGTAAAGTAGGATATTTCGCTACTTTGACCTATTTTTTATGTTTAAGAGAAAATGATAACATGTTATGTCTTTTTACGGCGGAAATTTTTTAACAGATTTTTACAAAGTTTAATTTTAACAGATGTTTACAAAGTTTATGAATTTACGTTTTCCACTTTTCTTACAAAAAAAAAAAAAATAAAACTACTTCACTATGCGAAGTAGGTTCCTGGACAATTCTATCAGGAATTGTCGGGACGGATCCAGGTATCGAATCGACTATAACTCCCGAACCGTTTCAAATAATGTCAATGCCGTTTTAAACATATGCTCATTGTTGGGCAGTTTTGAAAGTTCTGTTAATCAGGTTCTAATTCAGATGTAACAAGTAAAAAAGCAGTAAGTTCGGCCGAGCCGAACTTTGAATACCCTCCACTATTTGGAACGAATTAGAAAATTTTCAAAAAAAATAAAATCCAATAAAAATTCTTTTAAAATCTTTAAAATATCTAATATAGGAAGGTGCCGATATATGGGGAGATATACGATATTGTGGACCTATAAAGACAAATCTATGTCTGCGTGTAAAGTACTCACAAGGAACTCCGTGTGTGGATTTTCAGACAATACGATTGGAAAATGTGGCTAAAATCATCAAAATACCGAATATCGTGGGGTACCGTTATATGGGAGCTATACGTTATCGTTAACCTATATAGAGAATTCTCTGTCGGTGGGTAAAGTGCTCACAAAGAACCCCTTGTGTACAAAGAACCCCTTGTGACCATTCCGTTGAAAAATATGGCTAAAAACATCAAAATACCGAATATCGGGGGTACCGTTATATGAGGGCTATACAATATCGTGGATCTATATAGATAATTCTCTGCCGAGGTATAAAGTACCCACAAGGAACTGCTTGTGTGGATTTTCAGACAATTCCGATGAAAAATGTGGGTCAAATCATAAAATACCGAATATCGGGAGGTACCGTTATATGGGGGATATACGATATCGTGGACCTGTATAGACAATTCTCTCTCAGGGGGTGAAGTACTCACAAGGAACTACTTGTGTTGATTTTAAGACAATTCCATTGAAAAGCGCGGCTAACATCATCAAAATACCGAATATCGGAGGTTACAGTTATATGGGGGACATACGATTTCGTGGACCTATATAGACACTTCATTTTGAGGAGGTAAAAAGCCAACAAGGGACTCCTTTTGTGGATTTTCAGATAATTTCGTTGAAAAATGTGGGTAAAATCATCAAAATACCAAATATCGGGGGTACCGTTATATGGGGGCTATACGATATTGTGGACCTATATAGATAATTCTCTGCCGAGGTATAAAGTACCCACAAGGAACTCCTCGTGTGGATTTTCAGACAATTCCGTTCAAAAATGTGCGTAAAATCATCAAAATACATAATATGGGGGGGGGGGGTACCGTTATATGGGGGCTATACGATATTGTGGACCTATATAAATAATTCTCTGCCGAGGTATAAAGTACCCACAAGGAACTCCTTGTGTGGATTTTCAGACAATTCCGTTGAAAAATGTGGGTAAAATCATCAAAATACCGAATATCGGGGGGTACCGTTACATGGGGGCTATACGATATCGTGAACCTATATGGACAATTCTCTGCCGAGGTATAAAGTACCCACAAGGAACTCCTTGTGTGGATTTTCAGACAATTCCGTTGAAAAATGTGGGTAAAATCATCAAAATACCGAATATCGGGGGGTACCGTTATATGGGGGCTATACGATATTGTGGACCTATATTGATAATTCTCTGCCGAGGTATAACGTACCCACAAGGAACTCCTTGTGTGGATTTTCAGACAATTCCGTTGAAAAATGTGGGTAAAATCATCAAAATACCGAATATCGGGGGGTACCGTTACATGGGTGCTATACGATATCGTGGACCTATATGAACAATTCTCTGCCGAGGTATAAAGTACCCACAAGGAACTCCTTGTGTGGATTTTCAGACAATTCCGTTGAAAAATGTGGGTAAAATCAGCAAAATACCGAATATCGGGGGGTACCGTTATATGGGGGCTATACGATATTGTGGACCTATATAGATAATTCTCTGCCGAGGTATAAATAACCCACAAGGAACTCCTTGTATGGATTTTCAGACAATTCCGTTCAAAAATGTGGGTAAAATCATCAAAATACCGAATATCGGGGGTACCGTTATATGGGGGCTATACGATATTGTGGACCTATATAAATAATTCTCTGCCGAGGTATAAAGTACCCACAAGGAACTACTTGTGTGGATTTTCAGACAATTCTGTTGAAAAATGTGGGTAAAATCATCAAAATACCGAATATCGGGGGGTACCGTTATATGGGGGCTATACGATATTGTGGACCTATATTGATAATTCTCTGCCGAGGTATAAAGTACCCACAAGGAACTCCTTGTGTGGATTTTCAGACAATTCCGTTGAAAAATGTGGGTAAAATCATCAAAATACCGAATAGCGGGGGGTACCGTTACATGGGGGCTATATGATATCGTGGACCGATATAGCCCATCTTCGAACTTGACCTGCCTGCAGACAAAAGAGAGATCTGTGCAAAATTTTAGCTTCCTATCTTAATTCGTTTAGACTGTAGCGTGATTACAACAGACGGACAAGCGGACGGACAGGGCTAAATCGTCTTAGAATTTTACGCTGATCAAGAATATATATACTTTGTTGGGTCTAAAATGATTATTTCGATGAGTTACAAACGGAATGACAAACTTAATATACCCTCCATACCTTTTTTGGTGGAGGGTATAAAAATACAATTACTTTGATAGACATGATCCCAGTATATTCTAGCTTATAGTTGTTTGCAATTTTGGTTTTGAAAGATTGTTATCTTACATTGCACAATATGTTTTCAGCAATTTTTGTGTTATATTTCCTTTTTTTTGTTCGAAAATAAAAACAAAATGTTTTACAAGAAATAGCCAAAGATAATATATAGCGAAAAAAAAAAAACTAATATTGAGGCAATTGAGTTTGAAAAACAAGTGTTTTTCACATCGGTGTCCGTTTGCAAAAAAAGTAATGAAAACTTCTAATGCATTATCATATGGTTTTGAAAGATTGTTATCTAATATTATTGTATCAATATTTCGTATTGTCTGTAGTTGCCTCCCACATTTATACCAGACAATATGTTTTCAGGAATATTTGTGTTACATTTACTTATTTTTTTGTTCGAAAATAAAAACACGAAAGATTTTACCAGAAAATTGCAAGAAATAGCCAAAGATAATATATCGAAAAAAACGAAATGAAATGAAAACTTCCAATGCAAATAAAATTTTATTTTTTTTTTTTTGTTATTGTTCGAACTCCAAATATAAAGACGCATATAAATCTGGTCATGAGAAATTCTTTTCTTTGTATGGTAAATCTGGTTGAATAAATCCGGATAACGCAATAAATCCTTATTATGTGGGTTAGTCCTGATAAAATTTTGAATCTAAACGGCGACTGGGACATAAATTCTTCTTCCAAAACCTGCAAGAATATAAAAATGTTACTAAGGTAATAGATTTTTCCGTAATAAGAAATTGCAAAACTAGTAATTTACTACAAGTTCTGGAACAGGACGAAAGTAGTGAGGGAAAGAAAATACAACAATAATAAAATAAACATAAGAAAATGTGACAAAAAATAACTGATGGAATGAAGAAAATTGGAAAGTTAACTTACAGTACCAGTTATATTCGTAACATTAGTTCTCATCCCGAATAGATGTCCAGTAAGAGCCCATCGTTATAGGTATTTCGACATGTGACCAAGTCATCACTCCATGATTTATATCGAAGGAGGGGGAATTACGAAGTCTGCACTAATGATCACTTCGTCTATATATCAGCCACTATAAATTTTAAGTTTGCGGATTTGTTCTCTGGTGGATCTTTCCATGTGCTGTTGTAGTCTCTCCTGTGGCTGTTCGTAATCCGACCTCATTTAACGGCGATATTGTCCCTTTCAACAAATCTGGTCTCATGAAGGACTTTTCTGCACAGGTGTCAACGTCAAGGTACGCATATACTGTCAGATTGTTATTCTTCTGCTGGACTTTCCACTTTCCTCTGTGGGTGACAGATCCTTTTTCGCTTGAGGTTTCACTATAGTCCTTGCTGTTTTTTGTGCAAGTGCAAATGAAATGGATGTGTTCTACCGGTATTAGACAACTGCATCATCCGCTCAAATTCAGTACCGAAGTCCCATAGGGTCTCATTTGCCTTTTCGACCCTTCTTCCTAGTTTTATTCAGTAGATGTTTATCAGGTGATAGTCTCTGTATTTGGGTTAAACGCCGCTCTAACTTGATTTTTTCTGAAGATACATATGACTGATATTTTTGCAAAATAGTACTGTCTGAACGATTAGGTTAATGTGTTGACAATAACTCATTTTCAATTTCTCATCAACAGACTTCATCCTATTTATTGACCATTCCTCCTTTGGCCTTCCACTTTTCTACTCTCTTTTCGATAATTTGGGAAATATTCTCGATCTTTCCTCCAATGTTTTCCAATTTCTGTCCTAATTCATCTTGTAGAAGTTTTTTTTTCGTAATTGCAGAAGAGGAAGAATGCACAGTTTTGTACAACGATTACCGATTTTTCCTTTTTTAAATCGGACAAAATTGCAAGACTAGTAGATTATAGCATGGTACAATGAATTCAAGGTAGGGCAGAACTACCATATGAATTCAATTTTTTTATTTTTCTGGCTTTCAATTATTTATTCAAAATAAATGCAACAGGTTGTTTGCTTTTTTATTGTTTTAATAGTAATTCTGACATTACAAGCCAAACAGGCAGACCTCTATACTTGCAACTTTTTCAAAGTTAGCCTACCTTGTATTCATTGTACCATGGATTATAGCTTAAATTTATTTTTTTTTCTTTTTTTACTAAATATAGATTTGACAATAAAAGTACATCAAGTAAAAAAAAAAATAATCGAACTCCATAATAATATTACTTTTGCAATTGTACCATGTTTAATACATTCGTAAAATGCTTCCGTTTTTAATAAATGAGTACATATTTTGAGCTTGGTATAACAGTTCTAAAATCAACTGGATTTTAGTTTTAAAATGAAATCAGATAAGTTCTGGTCCTTTTTTCTTCTTTATATTTCGCTGAATACAAATTAAAGAAAGAACTCAGACTTGAAATACGATTTTAATATACGTTAATTTTCGTTACTCCTCCGCTCAGTATATTTTACAACATTGCTTGAATTTAAGGAAGAGCAAAAAACTGAGACAAAATCACCCCTGGGAGAATCCCCTCGTGAGAACCAGCACTTATTATGTTTTAATCTTTGTTTTGTAAAGTATCGGCGTCGAATTCTTAAACTGTGGCGACGGCGCTATCATCGTACATACATCGTACATCGTACTCTGTTTTCTATCCCTCTTCCGATTTTATCTTCCCGTTTTTTCTCTAATGATAAAGCTATTTGTTTTCAATTGTGTTTTTATTTACTACAATTTAGAACGTAAATGTTAAATTCAGTAGTGTCGGCCTCAGTCCATTAGTTTAGCAGGCAGTTGCTACGATACCACAAACTTCTGTTTACGACTCATGTCAATGTATGTTTATTGCAGAAATCAGCCAATATAAATTTAAAATTAGTGCTTGCCAAAGAATTAGTGTGAAATATGCCATTCAAATTTGAGCCAGCTTGTAAATTATGAATACGAATAAATTTCATTCGTTTCGACTACGCGCTGCGTACGCTAATACCTATATACAAACAAGGCCTACGTACATTGCAACACATGTTTTATCATATGTTTCTGCTGCGACTTGTGACGTCTAATTTATTACATATGCCAATGTATTTTGATTATACATATATTCAGTGTAATCTTGCATGATGAATTCTTTTCAATGCTGTCTAAAGCGAATCAATGTGTAGTATAAATGAAAAGCGTCAAGTTATAGAAAAATGTTTTACTTAGTGGTTCAACGTCATATAATTAGATTAAAATAAAAACAAAATGTCAAGAAGCAAAGAAGAGTGTGTGTAATGGAAAAAGCAGCAAAATCAATCGGTGAATGATGCGCTCCCTTCGTATTTCCATTTTAATATATCTATACCATGATGTCATTCTCTTATTGAAAGTTATATTGAGGAAGGGACATGGGAAGCATTGCAGATATAAGTTATATAATAATTAACTAATATTAACATTCATCTAAAAATTTTCTAGAGAAAATTGCGACAAAGGAGCTGAACGCGTTAAGTACAAAATCGGAAATATAAAGAATTTGATGAATACTGTCCAGAATAGCGCCGTGTATAGTTCATGGATATAAATGGATCAGGATTAGACAGTAAAAAGTAATCGTTTGCAACTTCTACTGTTAGAAGTGATTTGGCAAAAAGACAAAGATCGTGCAACTTAACTCATACGAGTAGGGCATGTCGTTCATCAATAATCTTAAAAAAGTCTTTCATTTGGGAAGCGGCGAAGCCAAGAAGAAGCGCCATGGCAATAACATTAAAATGGATACTGATCCAGCCGAAATCTGGGAAATTGTTGGCGAACTTGGCGATGGTGCTTTCGGAAAGGTATACAAGGCCCAACACAAGGACACGAAACAATTCGCTGCGGCTAAAATGTGTATATTGGAAGCGGTTACCGATTTAAGTGATCACATGGTAGAAATCGATATTTTATCGGAAATAAGACATCCGAATATAGTCGAGTTGTATGAAGCATTCTTCGTGGAGCTTAAATTATGGGTGCGTATGATCTAATTTAGCAAAACAATAGCTATAATCGTAAGGTGATATCTTTAATACAGATGCTTATTGAGTATTGCGATGGCGGCGCCTTAGACAGTATAATGGTGGAACTAGAAAAACCATTAAATGAACCACAAATCGCCTATGTATGCAAGCATATGACAGAAGGATTGGACTTCTTGCATAAAAACAAAGTTATACACAGGGATCTAAAAGCTGGAAACGTTTTGCTTACAATGGAAGGAGGTGTAAAGCTAGGTGAGTTTATTGGCAAAAAGCATAATACAATCATAAATAGTAATGTTTAATAATTATAAAAATAGCTGATTTTGGTGTATCGGCCAAAAACAAGCATACCCTCCAGAAGCATGATACGTTCATAGGTACACCATACTGGATGGCACCAGAACTTGTATTGTGTGAGACATTCCGTGACAATCCATATGATCAAAAGGTCGATATCTGGTCGTTAGGCATTACACTAATTGAATTAGCTCAAATGGAACCACCAAATAGTGAAATGTCTCCAATGAGAGTTTTACTGAAGATACAGAAAAGCGACCCACCACGATTAGACCAACCTTCCAGGTGGAGTAAAGAATTTAATGATTTTCTTAAAAATTCGCTAGTAAAGGTATTTGTACAAATAATACTTACAATTTGTATATTTTTAATTATATACATTTTCTTTTTAGGATCCAAATCAAAGACCATCAACGGAAACATTATTACAACATGCATTTATAAATCGCGATCTTGATGCCAAACCTATCAAAGACTTATTATTAGAATATCGAGCTGAAGTGGTTGAGGAAGTGGTGGATGATGAAGCAGAGGTAATATATACACAATTCATTTTTGACGACAATTCGAAGTACATTTTTCTAAAAATATCTATTGATAAAAAGTTTTCAAAAAGGAGAAGGGTTTCTTTGAATATCAATTCAATTAACATTTTCTCCTTAAAGAAGTCATTAATAGGGTCAGGGGAAATATTGTTGTCGCCCAGCGATTCGAAGAATAAATCCTAAATTACAATAAAATAAATAAGGGCTTTTTATAAAATTCCCTGTTTTACATTGGAAAAATAAATTAAATAGAATAGCACTAGCAACATTGGCCAACGAAAATTATTTATAACATATTTTTGATATAGATATTTAATTGGTAATAACTAACATTTTCCACTGTAGGTGTTTTGAGACTGTCCAATCCTTTGTTCTGTAGAAGTTTCATTGATTTGGTGAAATGTATATTTTTATTTAATAGCCTACATTTATATTCCATTTGTTATTTCAGTTAACATTGCTCATACTATAGAAATTGTTATACAATAATTATTTGAAGTTTGCTAGTATGCATTTGCAGATATTCCGTTTTCAAAAATAGGTATACTAACTAAATTCCTTAATATTTTTTCTTACACGCCGCTAATTCACTTGTAAATTAAAATCTAAACTGCACACATACTTTGTTGTTTTAGAAGCTAAAACGTCAAGTGAAAAGAAGATCTCTTTATCAGAGGGTTGGTAAGTCGTACAGACTATGTATGTACATTTGCATTTATTTTTTTTTACTATGAGTTGTTCCTATATCTATTTTTATATGATTTGTATTTAAAGTGACTAATATTCGAATAAATTTTAATTTGTATACCCTCTCTCTGTAAAATTAGGATATCATCAATATTGCGTAAATTTCGTTCGTTTAAGCATAATTTTTTCACTCACGTTATTTTTCAACAGCTAATTTAAACATTTATTAAAGTACTTCAGTTATTTGAACTTTGTATTATTATTTTTTTTACAAATGGAAACAGTATTAAATAAGAGTTTTTTACACTTAGGAACCCCGCAACTCAGCGCTCCCCCTAGATTTGGACGATGATTCCGCTTCAGTTCAAAGCCAAGATATTGACAAACGTACGTATATTTATATATATATTAGTATATTTATATATATTAGTATATTTATATATATTACTAGGTATAGAAAATTATGCTTAACTATTTACTATTTTTAGTGTCAGGTACCCTTAGAGATAATAAAGAACAATCTCAAACAAATAATTCACAAACAAATAAACAAGATGCTGCGGAAAATAAAACAGCACCAATAAGCGAAACATCTTCAATTACATCTAGCAGATTGGCAAACGAAAATGAAATGGATTCCTTGGAAAAATCAAAGGATTTGGCGAACAAGTCCCAGCGCCAACTAGCACAATTACAACAAATTCCTGAAGATTTGCCCGTATCAGATGTTGAACAGTCGTCAACGCAAAATGTATCGGATGTGGATAAAAAGGTTTTTTATATTTTTTTTAATTATATGTTAAATAGTAGATATAAAATGTTTCAATTGCAAAATAATTATTTTAGATTACTAAGAGGGAGAAAGGTAAAGCGCCACCTCCTCCGACAACTGTCATTACAAAACCAAAGGACATTGCACCCCAGACTGTTGAAGTTGCCATCGAATCCAATGAAGCCTATGAAGATACATTGACTTTACTGCCAAAGAACGCGGAAGAAATATATGAGCAGAGTGTCAGTAGGACCATAAAATCAGATAGTCCTGTTCGCCAAGGGGATTCAGTAAGATCGTCGAACTCCCCCGAGGCATCATCATCAGCAAAGAGTTTCAGTTCTAGTGCAGCTATTGTAAGCTCCAGCACTTCTATGATAACAATCAACAGTAATACGTCTGCAAGAAGTCAATCTGAGTCGTCGTTGGTACTTTCTCAAAATGTTATCTTGCCAAATAGTTTAGAAGCCGGCACTAGACAAATCACAGTAGTAACAAGCACTCATCCACCTGTTGTTATTGACAATACCATGAGTCGACCGGCACCACAGCCACCGACACCACCTCAACAACAAAGTCAATTATCTAGTGACGTTGTTATTGTGTCTAATATCCAAAACAAATCCACACACATTCATGAATCATCGACAGATGATGACTATCCATCCATGGATGAAAGTATTGGTGCGTCATCGCCACCACCTCCTCACAAGCAGTCATCAATGATAGTCACTCTTAACAGTGAGCAGAGCAGCACCGAAGAGACTGATAGAGGCTACACTTCTTTCCGCCCATCGGCCACACTTGTCCGTAAATTAGACGAGAGTGAGGTCCTAATAGTGAGTCCTTCATTTACCACCGAAGATGATTCAGCATATAATACGCCCTCTGAAATCCAACATGATCATAGTGCCGATCAGCATTTGATGGATACGAGCCACGTATCTGTTGTCACAGTGGGTGACGAAATACGTGTCAAGGACAGTAGTCACTTGTCTCGAACAGACAATACTTCGAATACAGTCCTTGATACATCAACTGTTGTAAGTGACAAAAGACACAATGGCCAGATTTCTAGAACTCAAAAAAATACTTCTTCAATTGATACGGACGATATAAACATTATAGTTAATCGAAATAGACAAGAACCAAATGCCTTTTTGCCTACTGGAATGGCAGGAGTAGATGGAAGCGAATCTGGATCAATTAGATCAAGTACTGGCAGTAACAACAAGATAGTCCGTCGTGGTGCGGAGGTCAAAATTGCTGTATCAGCTGATAAAAGTGATGCAGAAAGTGTTTGCACTACTGCTAGTCATGATAGTCGCATTGAAGTCGATGTTGACGCCGCGGAGAGAAAGGACAGAATAGAAGATGATGACGTTATTATACGTCGAAAACCAGCTTATAAGAGTGGTTATGGTGGCATGGCTTCTGGTCTAACAAAAGAAGAAATTGAACTAAAAAATCTGCGCAAAAAAACAAGAAAGCGAACGAGAAAATTTGAAATTGATGGTGTGCAAGTAACAACCACAACAAGCAGAGTTATATATGGAGACGACGAATCAGGGCGACTATATGACGACCATGTTTTCCGTAAGCAAGAGCTACGGGAGTTAAAAATGTTGCAAAAGCAAGAGAAAAAGCAACAAACTGACTTACAACTAAAAGAGCAAATAAGCAAAGAGCAACAAGATCGTCGTTTCGAACAGGAAAGAAGCTCTCTCGAGAAGACATACGAATCAGATATGGACGGTCTGGCTCGACAACATAAGCAGTTAATAGAAAAGACGGAACAAGCTCAGGAACATGAATTACGATCGTCTTCTAAACGAATACGAGCCGAACAAGAAAAAGAGCTAAAAGTATTTCGGGAAGGTCTCAAGCAGGAAATCCATTTGCTTAAACAAGAAGTTGATCTTTTACCGAAAGATAAACGAAAAGATGAATTCAAACAACGTCGGACCGCCATGGAATTGGATCACGAAGAAAAGGAAAGAGTCTTTCTCGACGCATTGAAGGAAAGACATGAATTATTATTAAGACGGTTAAGCGAAAAACATCGAGATCATCTTTCTACAATTCACAGAAACTTTTTACAACAAAAGCAAAATGCCATGCGCACTAGAGAAGCTTTACTTTGGGAGCTTGAAGAGAAACAGCTGCACGAAAGACACCAGCTTTCCAAACGTCACGTGAAAGAGATGTGTTTCATGCAACGACATCAAATGATTGTTCGACACGAAAAAGAACTTGATCAGGTGAAACGAATGTTGCAACGAAAAGAGGAGGATTTACTTAAAAAGCAAGCCTTAGAAAAACGTGCACTGCCAAAACGTATTCGAGCTGAACGGAAAGCTCGTGAACTTATGTTTAGAGAATCTCTTCGCATATCTTCCAATCTTGATCCCGAAGTCGAAAGAGAACGCTTAAAAAAGGTAAAAAATATCCATTTTGTGTTGTACCTGATTTTTTACACTAATCTTTTTGATAATAGTTTCAAGAACAGGACAAAAAAAGATACACCCAAGAGGAAAGGAGGTTCGAAATAAAACATCAAAAGCAATTGGAAGAATTACGGGCTACACGAGAGAGCACTATAAGGTATGTCGTACAGTGTATTTATGGTTTCTATTTTCTCTTTTAAAAGGGAAAATGTGGAATGTTCGTATTAGTATTTCTAAATCTTTCTTTAAAAATAGTATGTTCAACCATACATAGGATGTCGCTGCTACAGCTTTATCTATCTATCAAGTACAGATGTGTTGTTATAGTACATACCATTCGAAGGTGCGAAGAGATACGCATTTTTTCCAAATAGGATAGATAGGGAATTATAGTGTTTGCCTGGAAAGCATACGCATTTATTCAAAACATTTTGCTGAAGCGAGTTTTTTTTAAATCAAATTTCTGAAAGGGATCATCAGCTATTAGTAGAGCATAACAAGCATAAACATATCTGATCTAGCTTTTTATTAACTGGTTCTCTTTTCTTATTCTATTATATTCATTGGCAAAGTTAAGGCTTTTTAACATTCAAGCTGCTCCGGCTGTAATGCATCAATTTATTAAATATTATGCTTCTATCAATTGACCACTATTTTTTAGGTCTTAAAAATATATTTGTTTAGGTGACTAAAAACCTGGATAAACAGTATCAATTGTGATGCTATTTTGTGCTCTAGTCTATTATTATGTAATTTCAATGTTCAATGTTGAATTGCATGGTTAATAAGCATCAGCGCCCTTAACCAATTTTTTAAAAAATATCGCTAATTTAGCTATAACACCAACAGTTTACAGCTTTGCTTTGCTAGCAACACTTTATAAAAAATTCCAAAGAAGCTAATGCTTCTTGAAGTCGTTAGCTAACACAAAATAGAAGGGTGAGTTCAATTTTTTCCTTTGATATATTAGATTTTATTGTATCTATATCCATACCAAAATCTACATAAGAATATAAATAATTGAAATCAACACATAGTTTGAGCGATGAAATTCAGTATTTAAAAATTGGTAATATCTACTAGTTCTTAAGGGGATATTTATTCTAATAGACGAAATAAGAAAATCAAATGGTACAGTACCGTTTAAAATTATTAACATCATTATACAATTAAACATAATGCGTCTACTTTTTAATGACGGTAATCGAATGAATTTTAACCTTCTAGTATAAGAGGGCAAAACAAAATTATTATTCCAATTTAAGCCAATTTAATCCAATTTAAGAAAAAAAGCAGGAATTGCGTCTGATTGATTTTATCGGAATAAAAAGTACATTCAGGGTCCCATACAGAGAAACCATATTCTAATATTGGTCTAACAAGAGTCGAATATAGTTGTTTAGTCGCATATGGATCAGAAAATTCTTTGGCCCAACGTTTAATAAAACCTAAGACCCCGGATGCTTTATTTACCATAGAAGTAGTATGTTATTAAAATTTAATTTTGGGTTCATCAAAAGCCCCAGATCAGTGAAGGAATCTACAGTTGATAACACATATCCATTTATACTATAATGACTTGATATAGGTGTTTTTTTAATATTAATTAAAGCAGATATACACAACACTTGAATTGTGTAACCTTGGTATGTTTACAATTTCTTGTAATCTACCAAGAATATTTATTTTTGCTTTCTATTTATACATTTTTGAATTCGTTAAAACTAGCATTTAAAGTTAACTAAGCAATAAATTACTTCAGCCAATAACCCATGCAATGTGAAACCAATCGAGGTGTTTCTTTATTTAGGCTATTGGCCTGCATAAGGCAAACAATAATTATATAGGTCAGTTATATGCTGACATAGAATAAAATAATAATAAAAACAAAATTAAAAAATGTGTTAGTAAAATATGTTCTTTTGAACATTCTCCCCCACGTTGAACGAGGAACGTTCAAGAAACTGTCTGGTCAATGACGTATGATGATGAGACTGACTGCCGAGGGGTAGGTGTTGGGTTCATGTTATTGTTGGAAGTTCTGTGGTGGCGAAACTTGACAATGACGTATATGGCTACTCCAATTCCAATGCAAAGAGCTAGATAGCTGATGGTATGATGGTGAATGGCCGTCGATTTCATTAATTGTGGAAGGCGTCCGATTTCAATAGTTTTTAGCTGTTGGTGTAAGGTGACGAGTTCAGCAGCATGTGTTTCATAGGTGCTGTTTAATGTTTTGTTGAGCAAGACAAGCTTACTGCTTGAGATTATGGAATCCAGTGGCTTAAGTCTCAGATATGATGTGTGCACTGTTGTTTTGTTTTCGTAGTGACCGTATATTGTAAATGTGTTGTCTTTGAAAATGCAGCCTGGCCCAATTTCTAAAGTTCCAGCTCCTTGCACCTCCAGGTGTGTCATTTTTGTACCACAAACAAAGGACAATTCTGTTAAATTGGCTAGAGTAAACATCCATTTATTCTTTTGTGCCATTTGTCTCCAAGTTTGGTGGTGCATGGTCGATTGCAAGTCGCACGCTTCTGACGATTTGTTCAATAAGAAAATCACCTCGCATAAATGTGATCGATCGCCTTTGCTAAATTTCGCTTGGTTGTCGCAAATAAAAACGTCATTTGTGGTATGTATGCAGCTGTTCATTTCTTCTGCGGTTAGCGATATGAACTCATCCCGATGGACGTTAGCTGCCAATAATGTTGATTTCAAAGCTATTGAAATAAATCGACCGGATCGTAGCATAGGTGCGGGGATCATTTTGAATAAATCATACTGCTGGAGATCCACTAATGGAAGGCGAATCTCGAATATGATATGGTTCTTAATAACCCTTCCCTTACTCTTCATTAATTTGAAGAAATCCGAAACATTATCTTCGCGAACGGGTAGAGCACGAGATGGAGGAATGTGAGCCTTGATGGTTTGGAGCTCTTGTAGCAATTGATGTGGCGTAAGTAGCAACGGACTTATCCGACCATGATGAGCATCCGTTAAAACGTCGATTAAGTTATCTTCTATATGTTTCAACCTTGATGAAAGTAGCATGAGCTGTGAAGTGAGAAACATAATTGATTGTGTTGTCTTTACAACATCTTCTTCTTTCTTCACCTTATTTGCCAAAAGGTTCAATTCCACTTGCATGTTGCCGAAGTTCCTTTGGCTCGTATCTTCGTCCTTTCTAATTATGTTGATTGTTGAATCAATAATAGATGTCTGATTTTTTAGAAGATCCAACAAATGTTGCTTGTCTTCATTTGCCTTCTCAATTGTCACAGTCATTTGCTCCGCATATTCCGAATCCAAGACACCAAATAACGAGTGTGCGAGGTTCCCGACTATGTTTAGAGCTCCTCTCCTGATGCGCCTGGGGAATATGTTCAGTGTATTTGATTCCAACTGCTTTTGTACTTGAATAAGATTTTCTGAAAGTATCTCACAGCTTCTGTTCTCAACTGCTATCTTACACAACTTCTGAAGGGTTCCTATCCCGGTAGAAAAGCCATCCATATCTGCCCAAAATGGGGAAAGATCATAATAAGTGATCAGTTTCCACTCTGCTGTTACTACTTTTGTGATTCCAATTCCTTCAAAATAGATGCCGGGCTTATTCTCAAACTTGTGTATGTTGAACGAATGACACAAGCATAGAGGTAAAAATAGTAAAGCCACAAGCATCATCGATACTAGCATGCTGCTTGACGTCTTCAATCGCTTTGGAGATGGCTCTTCACTCCTACTCTTGGTCTCTATAGGCGGAAGAGGTTCCTTTTCCTTTTTCCATAAAGGAGCTAATCTGGTTATAGCTCTTTTAATTTCGCCGTTTTGTGTCTTTACGTCGACTACACGAACGGCTCCATCGTTGCCCTTATATGTTCGGGTTATTCTGCCTAGCGGCCACTGCATTACAGGCATGTTATCTTCCTTAATAATGACCAATTGACCAGGTTCCACGTTTGGAGATGGTGTACTCCATTTCCTTCTTTCTTGCAGAGTATTTAAGTACTCCGTGGACCAACGTTTCCAGAACTCATGTCTAATTTGAGATACGACCTTCCATCTGCTTGTCAATGATGTTGACCATTGGTTCGCTGATGGGTCAACCTGTGCCGTTAACGGTTCTCCCACAAGAAAATGACCAGGTGTTAATGCAGCTAGATCATTTGGATCGTCAGAAATAGGAGTCAACGGTCTGGAATTCAGGATTGCTTCTATTTCAATAACAACTGTTTCCAACTCTTCGTGGGTTAATGATGCACTATTAGTGGTGCGAAGCAACAGTTGCTTGGCTGACTTCACCGCGGCTTCCCATAAGCCACCAAAATGTGGTGCTCTTGGGGGAATAAACTGGAAATCGATCCCTTCTCTTGAACACGTCTCCGCTATTATTTTTTTGCCTTTCTCCCCAAAGACAGCCTTATTGAATTCATCGAGCTGATTTTTAGCACCTACAAAGTTAGTCGCGTTGTCTGAATATAGGGTTTGACATTTTCCTCGCCGAGAGATAAATCTCTTCAATGCTCCAATGAATGCTTCCGTTGTTAGGTCTGTAACTACTTCCAAATGTACAGCCTTTGTTGCGAAGCAGACAAAGACAGCGATGTAAACCTTGTGTGGTCTCTTGCCTCGTATTTTGTAGTGGACCCATAGGTTAGGTTAGGTTAGGTTAAAGGATGTGTGGTTGCGTAAAAAACAACAACCACTCCACTCGGAGACCTATTGGCCCATTGTGATCATCCTAGTCTAGAAAGAAGTGGAAGTGAAGTAAGAAAGATAGTTAGTGTAGAATATAGGATTTAGAAGAATTAGAGAAGCTAGTGGGTTTGCGTCCACGGTGTAATCAACGTGTCGTCCTTAGCCATTTTAGTCTTCTGGCTAATTGAAGAATGACTGCTGGTTCTGTTTCGGAGAGGTATGACAAGTCAGGCAGTAAGTGCTTACCCAGAAGCCTATGTCTTACTCCAATGAGGGTAGGACAATGACAGAGTAAGTGTTCCACCGTTTCTGTTTCTTCCTCGTCCTGACATAGCCTGCAGTATTCAGTGTCGTCACCCCCCCATTTTGAAGTCATGGCCTTTATGTTGCAATGACCTGTAATTAGGCCCACCACAAGCTTCAAGTCCAACTTCGTCATGGACAAGAGTGACC